ACCGGGTCATTTTCAAATTTATGTAGCTAAAAATGAAACCCTAAACCTATTCTTTTGCACAGATTGGGTCAACTTTTTGTCATGTCTCCCAAGGAGTTGTCTTTCATGGTAGAATAGGTTGCTCCCTTCAATTTATAGATCCTCGTAGAATTTGTGGGCTTTGTTTTATTGACGGAGTCAGATATGTTAGATTAATCCCATTAGGATTGAGTTTGTAGGCTACACTATATATCCTAGTTTGGGATTTGCTTCCAAAACCTCAGCTTTAATAGGAGATAAACTCAAAGTTGTAGAATCCATTAGAACTAGAATTCTACATTTTCTATGATGGGTTGGGAGTGTAAGAAACTCTATATAAAGCACCTTTTAAGTCCCTCCACTTTCTTGCACGAATCTAGAGTGAGTTCCCCATTAATTCCTCTATCAAAAAAGCAAGGATAGGGGAGAAGATTGGAGTGAAGAAAGAGAATTCGTTGGAAGCTGCCCATGTCGTTCCAAGAGGACGAGACTGCCCCAAATGAACGTGAGTGATAGCTGTTCACGAGGCTGTCAAACCAATGGTAATGCTCCACATTAGGTCATTAGTGATAAAATATATGAAGCCCACAGTGAGTTAATTAAATGGTTGTGGGTCCTAACAGGGCATAAGATTTGAGGGGAAGACTTGATCACAGCCGTATGAAATCATCCGTTGGTTACATTTTTTTTTTTTTTTTGAATGGGCCTAAAGGCCAAAATGCAATAATAATCACCTGTCTTGAATTACAGATCCTTCAAAGCAGAACAAATCCTCAGAAATTAACTCTGAAATACAAGGGGGAGTGACACCATTCCTAAAGAAATGACCAAAAATATCCAATTTGGCAAGAGAACGAGGCACCCGGTTAAAGGATCTATTGATGTGGGTAACTAAGACAGATTCAAAAGAGGAAGAGAGAAGCCTCCCGCAGTCTGCACTAATTTGATTGTGATTCTTCTTTCTAGTGGCAGAAATGTGAAAATAGTGAGAATTCCGATCACCTTGTTTAAGCCCATCAGAACACACCCGTTGAGCCCAATAGATTTCATCCAACTTAGCAAAGTGAGAATATTCTAATTGTCAATTGTCTCTCTTTAACAATAGATTCAGAGGTTGGTGTGTCCGATTGAACCTTGAGCAATTCCAATTCGATCTCTTGCATTCTTTTCCTGGGGTTACTGATCATTGCTTGACTCGACCATTGCATTTGTTAGCGAAGGAAAGGTCTTGAGAGAGGTTATCCCAGTAGTGTTTGAATTCATCTAGATAACCATTGCATTTTGTCCAGAAAGCTTCGAATCTATTAAATTTTATAGCTTTCCTTCGGGATTGAGTAAGGCTGACCAAAATAGGTAGGTGGCCACTGCCAAGTGCCAATGCGAGGGAGGTGATTAACATGTGCCCAAGGATACAACACCAACCAATCTGGGGAAGCCACAGCCCGATCAAGTCTTTCCATTACAAGTTCATGAAAATCCCGCTTGTTGGACTAGGTGTATGCTAGACCCGACAATACCAGATCCATCAGGCCTGTGACATTAATCATTTGTTTGAAATCCTCAGTATCTCAAGCCTGAAGGGGTAATTGGCCTACTTCCAATTTTCTCTGCTGCCCAGAATAAGGCATTGAAATTGCCAAACACCATCCATGGTTTGGTGAAGTTGGAAGCAAGATTACACAATCTATCCAACACTGCCTAACAAGAACCCAGGAGTAATTAGAAGCTGGGCAATTGATATCATCCACACAACTAACAACAATATTTACATCTAAAGACCATAAGAGCCAAAGACCACCCCTAGATCCCACGGAGGGATGAACAACAGAATTAAAAAGTGGAAATCTCTTAAGCAACTTTGAAGACTTGGAAGAAGTACATTTTGTTTCAAAAAGGAAAATAACAGATGCCTTTATACTCTTGAGGAGGGCTAAAAGATGTTGAATTGTCAGGTCCCTCCCCAATCCGTGACAATTCCAAGCAATGAGTCTCATTGAATCATTGATTAATTAATGTGGGGCGATTGAGGGCCCACCGCCCCAACCCATGTGGAAGAAGGGATAGAACTATCACATGGATTAACATGTGCCCGTGCAAGCTGTTTCAAATTACTAGTGAAAATTCGCTTTGGTCTTGGGCTAGAGAGGGTTTGGAAGTTGGGACCATAGAAACTCATGGCTGATTTTCAGTAACTTGTATCTCATTTACTTCCCTTTTATCAATCATCTCCAAATCAGTTACGTGAATCACGGGATCCTCCAAGGTTTTGTGATTGCTAAGTTCCAAAATATTTGCTGAGAAATCTGAGATGTGCAACTGCTTACTGCTTAGATTGTGGGCTGGTCGAGGATGGGACCGACTCCACAACACCGGTCATTTTCCGGCAACTGTGATCTTACCAATGGTATTAGCTATTGAACTCAACTCTCTTCACCATCAGTGGTTGAAGCCTTGTGATCTCCAAGATTAGGACGTAATCCTCTATCAGAATTAATAGGGGACGCTGACTGCTCCATATGGGGTGAAATACCTTTAGAAGAGTTACCTTTCCCCGAGCTTTGAACACGTAAATCAGGTTCAAAATGGATATGGTGAAGTGAAAAGAGATAAAAGATTAGCGTTTGATTACAAGATGTAACTACTGAAGAGATAAAAGAGATAAGAGAGATGGACTAAAAGTATAAATAACAAAGAAAATGATGATAAAACAAGTTAAGGATACGGCTGCTGGAGCGATCATAATATGTCACTGACGTGTCTTGCTAGAATTCTTTAAGAGGTCTCATGTTTTTTTATTACTAGCACGGAGAGTTACCATTGGTTCCTATAGGCTTATTTTTGAAACTGAACCGAGGTTATCGGTTTTTAGAAAATTGATAATCGAAATAGAACCGAAGCTGATCGATTAATCGGTTGACCGGTTCAATTAACCATCGGTTCAGTTCACCGATTCGTCAGTTTTTTATTATTTGTAATGTATTATAAAAATATACAAATATATAATAAAATACTAGAAATATATATGTATATATATAAAATATTATATTTTAAATAATAAATAATATATTATATATTATAAATATATATATATGTATATATATTACATATTTATTAATTTATAATGTATAGAAAATATAAAATATATATAATATACATAAAAATATAATATATATATATATATATGTATGCTGATCGATTCGGTTAACCGCTGATTTTCTATTTTGGTTAACCGAAACCAAGTACCTTTGGTTTTTTTAATATTAAATTGAAACCGAATTGATCAATTTAGTTAACCAATTTTTCGGTTTGGTTTCAGTCGGTTTTTCAATTAGTTCGGTTTTTTGGTTTTTCTTGCTCGCCCCTATTAATGGTTACATAGTCCACTGAACAGGTATTGTGTTCAGCTAATCCTTAATTAAATATGAATGACTACAAATATGATTTTGGTTTAGTTTCTTGCAAACCAGTACTGTTGGGACTTCTAGAGCGATTTGGAGCCCCTTTGGATGTATTACAAGATTTGAATCCTAGCTCCAACTCGGAGAGTGTTTCTTTGACCATAATCTACATTTTCTTGGCCACACTCCCGTTGTCCAGATGTTCTTTTGGTGACTGTAGAATAGAAGCTTTTGGCAATTAAGACTAAATACTCTTGCAATCTATAGGTCTTTCTTCTCTTGCAATATTGGTATATCTATGATGTCCATCACTTGTTCAGCAAGGCCATCATAACATGGCTATGAAATCCTTAACTGAGTGGTGGCTCAATTGGTACAATAGCTTGTTGTCAACACCCAATTTTTGTTCAATCCACCACCTGAACCTCCAATTTACCCCAAACATTTGATCAAACCCATCCGACCTCTCCGAAACACCCAAATACCTAAAAAATTCAACTTTCAGCCCCAAAGCCCTCAAATCCATCATTAAATTTACTTAATACCAATCTGATGGCCTCAATCAACCCCTATTTGCACCTTAGTCCTCATATCAAATACCACCATTAAACTCAAGACCTCCCAAAATACCCACCTAACAAATATCAAATCAAGATTCCTCTATTTAGCCTCCAATCAAATGAAGATTCCATTTCAACCCCTCTCGTTAGTTTGATACACGCACAACCTAGATCCTCCCGATCTTAACACATCCAAACTGATCAGACCATGCCATTAAACTTTGGATACACCAAAATTCATGTCCATAAAGTTTCAACCCCAAATTCCCTCATTTGCTTTTCCATCAAACCAAGATTTCGTTCCAAAACATCTTGTTGACTTAAATTCCACCATCAAATCGTGGACACCTATAAAAACCCTACCCTAGAAAATTTCATCCCAAAAGACCTGGTTTACCCCTCTATCGCACCTAAATTCCGTTTCGGGACTCCAAATTGACCGGATTCCAAATCCTATTGATCCAAGTCCAGTTGATCCAATCTGACCATACCAATCACCTCAAACTGTCTAAAAACCATACCTTGTAAAATTGCAGCCCAAAATACCTTTGTTTGTCCTTCCATCACACCAAGATTTCGTTCCGAGGCTCAAATTGATCGAATCAAGCCCTTTCCTGATTTGCCCAATCTGAGCCCATTTAGCCCAATTTGACCCCATCAATCAACTCAAAATGTCCAAAAACCTCACCTTACCGAATTTCAGTCAAAAATACCCCCATTTACTCACTCTTCTAGAAAGATTTCGTTTCAACCAATCTCATCGGTCCATACATTCAAAATCCACCTCTCTCTGTTCTCCAATTCAAAATCCCCTTCATCCATCAGGAACCCCTGGTTTGACCTCCTAGACCGACTTTGATCCAGGTCTACGAAATTGCCGAAAACCACCCTTAAACTTCCAAAAATTTACGAAATTACCATTATACTATAATATTTAAGTGAACCTAATTCTCATTCGAAAGGGGAGGGAGAGAAAATCGATCACTTGGAAATCTCCAAAAGGTAACATAATCAAAATTAACTTTGATGCATCATGGACGAATGGTTTCAAATGTGCAGTGTTGGCCATTGCTAGGAATTGCGGTGGAAATGTCATATAAAGGCATGTTTTTTGGGTGAGGCACTATTAATATGGTTGAGGCCTGAGCTGCATGAGAAGCTCGTAACCTGGCATTAAACTTCAAAGATTTTCCCAAAATTATAGGAGGGGATTCCAAGCTTGTCATCTCATGTCTGCGTGGAGAAACTCAACCACCCTAGAGAATAAAAAAAAAAAAAAAAAAAAAAAAACATCGTCGAAGACTGCATTGGCATCAAGACCCAGTTCGAAATTGGTTTGAAGTATTGTCATGTCTAGCGTGGGGCGAATCAATCTGCACATTGGTGCTAGCCTATCAACCTGCACATCTTAACTTGAATCTCCCTTCTCCTTTAGGGTTTTATGTGTCATTGTGATTCGTGGGGACGTGCTACGGACCCCGGCTTCTGTAGCACCGATTGGATCTACAAAAAATAGAAAGGGGGAGGAAAATTCACTATTCACCATCTTCTTCCTCCAGACGAACGTAGAGCGGCGGCGGTACCCGCCCCTTTAATCCCTTTCCCTCTTATTTCATTTTTTCCTCTTTCCCCTTTTCCCTTCATCTCGCCGGCGACCATTTCCAGACTGTTCTCATATCCTGTTCGCTGGTCCCTAGGGTGACCTCACAGCGGCGAGATTTCCCCATTTCCTCTCGGATTTCCGGTGAAGTCTCACCGTTTTTCTCAGATCCATTATATCCCACACGCACATCAACTTCATTGAGCATCTTGATTCCCCAAAAAACTGGTCGCAGGTCCCCTGTCCAGCGTTCTCCTTATCGACTGAGTAGAACCAATAGCAGTTGCCATTATCTCTAACAGTTTTGGGCTGAATCCGTGCATGGAAGATCACTCCCTCTCGATAAACTAGCAGTCACACCCCTCAATCCTCGTTGTTCAAGCTCGATTGAATATCCTTTGTTGCAGGAACGAACCCAGGCTGAAATCCGACCAGGTAAACTTTGTTTTCACCCTTCGGCATTTTGTTTTTTTTTTTTTTTTTTTATTTGCTTTCATTTTCCCCTTTTCTGAGTTGAGTCCCCTGTGTTTTCTGTAATCGATTTCCTGTTAAATTAGTGTGGCTTAGATCACAATGCAACACCCCACTCTTAGTTTGTATGTTTATTGTTTGATCCATCTACTGTGTTGAGGTTTAGTTCCGACCTGATGTTCGGTTAGGTTAAGTGATGGTTGATTAGTTTAGGTCATACTTCATGGTTTCTTTCTTGTTGTGTTTGCTTGAATTCAAATTGAGTAATTGCCTAGCTTAGTGAACTTGTGTCTAGAGATATTCTCTTGGGTCGTTGGTCATTCCGGACACTAATTCAGAGCAGATTATTGATTTCAACTTTCCGGTGACCAAGGGGCCCTTTTCTGGGGGAAGATAATAAAATAGGGGTGATTCGATTGTTTGCAGAACAGAAAGAAAAGGAAAGGGATGCCGATTACGGGAAGTAGCGTAGTTCTGAAGCAAAAAGAAATTAAAAAAATGTAATAAATAATACATGGTTATGTAAAAAGAAAGAAAAATAAAATAAGAAGGATAATTATAATGAACTATGTAGGGGTTTTATCTATGAATCCGAGTAGCTATCTTGATAATTAGAATATATTTTCGAGTTGAGGAGATATAGAGGCAATGAATAAATATACAAATAGGGTTCAGAAAGAAAATAATAAAATCAAATATATAATTGATGCAATTTAAAAAATAATAAATAATAACAAAGTAAAAATAATAATATAATAAAAAGAAAATTTATTATAATTATAAACAAGTAAAATAAAAATAAGGAGGTTTTTCTTTCACGTCATCATATTATTGTGGTTTGCTTTCTTTATTGTTGCGCTTTGTTTAAATAATATGCTTGTGACCATGCTTGATTGGTATCCCATGCTGGCCCCACTTATTGGACGTGGGAGAGAGTACCTAATCCCTTTCCTCTCCCATTCAAGTCTTATTCGGATTGGTTTATCCGGTGCCTTAGGCTATTGGAATTACTATTAAATAAAATTGATTTTGATAATTTTCGGAGGTTTCATCACCTCTATTTCCTAATACGGTGGGTGGCAACTCCAAATCAATCCAAGTGAGCCGTTTTCCGATACTCACACTGGTAGTCCTAGCGGAGATGTGGATTTAAGTCCCGTTACCCGTTACCAACTACCTTAGAGAGGTATTAGTGTGTTAGATTTAAATACCAATGAAAAAGTCCATAAACATTTGTGTTTGTGGTATTGGTGATGTAGTTTTAGCCCCAACTGTGGGGGCAAGGTGCTCTAGGCCAGACAAAGCTGTAGTCTCTCCATGGTATGGCTAGTGAAAGTGGGCCTCACATCATCCTACTCAACTCCACCCCGATCCCTATAACATTGACGACTATATTTGTTGGTGTTTGTTTTTCATATAAATCAAGATCGATGTAAAACTCCACTCCCAGTTAGATTTGTCGGCATTTAGAGATGGAGTGGAGTTTTACATCGTAAATCAATGTAAACACCTCCACTTATTTCGAAGAAGCACAACGGTTCAGAGATTTTAAGTCATATGTGGAACTCCTTCAATGAACTTTTATATCGATGGAGTTTTACATCGCAAACAAGCGCAACCGTAATATGTTATAGACTTACTTAGTGGATTAATGGGGTTACTGACAAAGTGTATGGGCCTCATTAGGACAAAAAAGGGGAGTCAATTGGACTAGATTTGGTTAAATCCGATCCAATCCAATGTGAGTCTATTGCAAATTGACCTGGTCCAATCTAGTCCTATGAATATTTTAGACCAATCTAATTCAATGTCTGGACCGTCCAATCTGTTCAAATCCGTTTTAATTTAAATTGATTCCAACTCAAACCTGGTCCATTGACACATATTTTTATCTTCTATCCATTGTTTTTAAAATCGAACCGGTGATCGAACCGGTTACCGGTTCGAACGGTCGGACCGTTCAACCTGAACAACTGGCCCATTCTAACAAAAAAAATTAAAAAATTTGAAAAACGGTCAAAACCGTTCAAACGATTAACCGGCCTGTTCAGCGGTTTGTTGACCAAAATCAACGGTTTTGAGGAAAAATGAAATCAATCAGGTAACCGGTTCCCAATTTTTTTGGTCCAACCATCCGATCTGATCCGGTTTTGAAAATCATACTTCTATCAATGGACCAGATATTAACTCAATCCAATACAATCTAATATAAATTCATTACAGATGGACCAAATCTAAATGCATCCAATCCAATAAATACTTTGGGCCATTGAGACCAGTGTCTTATTGGTCCGATCCATTGACACCCGTAAGGACAATATGAATATGAAGTCTTTCCCTACCTCCTTAATACAAGGAATGCCTTTGAACCAACTTGAAACGAGTGGATTGATGGCTCGTATCTTGTTGGTGGGCCTGTTTTTTTCCATGGGGTCATTGAAAGAAAAAATCATATATATTTTGGAGACAAGTGAACTTATCAAGGGAAGTTGGAATTTGGCCACGTAATCTATTATATATATTAAAGCGGTATATGCCTTCGTTAAGGCGACGTGGCCTTCTCTTCCCGCAAGAAAAGGTATCCGCACGTGAAACTAACTCGGAGTTCATTTGTTCTTCAGTTCTTGTTAGTTCGACAAACCCCAAACCCTGCTTAACGTTCGCACCGAAATTGCTGGGAGAATGCTAGAGAGGTTCTTCTTCTTATCCACGAAACAATAAATCGAGAAGGAAAAGGAATGCAGCAGCAACCAAATGATGCTCCTTTCAGGGCCCCCCTCATGCGGGAAGACATCTCTCCTCTTCCAGTTCGCTTTTAATTCCGCTTACACTAGCTCCGCCCATCGTCGTGTCGTCTTCATCTGCAACCGCCGCAGGTTAGAGTCCAAACCCCCTTACTTATCCCAGGTATTGTACATTTATTACTACTCTCTCTCTTTCTCTTTGTTTTTCTTTCCATTTTAACTTTGTATCTGTATGTAATGTAATCAGTAATTCATTTTTGAATGTTGCTTGCAGGGCATCGATGCCTCGTCTGATGTGTTTAACCGAATACGGATGAAGTGAGTGTGAGTGAGAGCATTGTCCACTGGGATATCAAGAAATTCCCTTTTCCTTACTAATAATTTACATTTATCCAACGTTTCTATTCGTTGCCAGGTATGTAGAAGATTACGAGGGGATCAACAAATACTTGGCTGGATTTCACCTGCACCAACTCGAAACCTACCCAGCAGCCATCGTAATCGATGATTTCGGAGATTTCTTCGATGACAAGTAAGTCAAGTCAGTCATGTTTTTGTGTTTGTGCTCCTCAGAACTGAGAACTGCCCTGATTTCGGTTTTGCCGTTTTGTCTCCACATTTCTACTTGCAGGAATTGTAAAGAGAGACTGGGTAATCCAAGAGGAAGAGACCTCGCCATGGTTCGAACTCTGGCCTTGTGCCGGGATGCCATCACCCATGCCAAGTAACTGTTCTGTTCCCATAGTCTACATTTTCGATGTTTGGAGCGTTGTTTGGTTGTTTTCTTTTGATTCTTAGCTCTCTATATGTAACAGTGAGAGCTTGGCGTCAGGAGAGCCTTGCAGGCTCTTGCTATCTGATACCCACCATGGCGATACTCCAAGGTTGTTGTTCATCTACAAGAGATGGATTCCCTCCATTTTTATGATCGAAGGTTAGTTTACAAGATGTATTAATAACCCTAACCCAAATCCTTACAACCCTCCAACCCATTTTTATTTAGTCCATCTATGTTTACTGGCAACTTTTCAATCTTTTCCCTGACATTGCCAATTCCGCCCAGTTTCTTTTTTTCTTCGTTTGACTTATAGAAGAATGTAATTAGATTGAGTCTCTGGATTTAGGGAATGGATCGGGATCCTTCATTCTGACAAGCAACGACAATGCTTCGGGGAGTGGCTCCACAAGAAATAGAAAGCGATCTGCAAAATTCTCCACGGCTCTACAGTATTTAGTGTTGCAGGAGATTATTGAAGAAACCAAACAGTAATCTCTTTCTTACTTCCAAGTTCCAACTACCAACTGCCTTGGTTAGTCATCACAGACACAGAACATCTATTATGAATCTTGATTCTGTATTAAGATATAACATCTAATCAATATGGGAAAACTGACTGCAACTTTTCCCACAATCCAGCAGCACCGAGCCCAAACCCCATGGTCCCCATCACAGAGACAGAGTCCCACTCTTGCCAGTTTCCACCCTCTCTTCATTAATGGGCAAATTTCAACATAATGGCATTATTTATAGCAGTGATGATCCRGCGAGAAGGTTTTTCTATTTCTTTTCTTTTTCAGTATAATATGTCCATAATAAGACCCTTATCCCCACTTTTATATAATGATGATGATAGAAGAATAGAACTATAGAAGGGCTTTGGGCTTCTCTGAAAACATGCGGTGAAGAACCGAGGATTAAAAAGGAGGGAACAAAGGAAGGACACCAACATCTTTTTGGGGGTTCAGCACCAAAACAAGTTGCCACGTGTACAATTATTTTTGTTGGAGGAATTAGTACCGAGAATCCAAATATATTAGCTGGTTTTCCTCTGTTAGTTACTATGCTCTGCAGAGTTTCTTCTCTTAAAGTTGGAAATTATTTGTGAAAAACTGAAACTTCATGTCTTTTCACTAAAATGTCTTCTTCAGTACATTATCCATGATCTGCTAAGACTTCATGTTATTTTTTTTATTGGTCGTGGAGCTTGGGATCTGAAGAGGTGGATGAGTTCAAGATGATTTCAATACTGAAACAGCTGCCGCTTATAAATCCTTGGTTGATTTCTGAAAAGTGCAATTGACTGCATCTAGTAGCATTACACTAAGCGGTTTCTTCCTTTTAGAACATTTGGGATCTAATTTTTTTGGTTAATTTCTCTTTTGTTGGATGAAATGCCTTATTACTTGTTTCTGGATTTCTTGTAATTCAATTCATAGATATTCTGAATCTATATGCATCAAAGTTTTAGTATTTATGGTATCTCTTCTCTAATAATGCCATTCTTCCTCATCAAATTGCCTTTTCAATTTGTCTACGTTATGAAATTTGATAGAGTTTCGTTTCTCTTCGTATGAACTATAGAAATCCTAATTTAGTGCCTATTAATTCAATTTCATTTTTTTGGTACGTTTTTTCAAGTTAATTCGATCCATTTTTTCTACAGTAAAATCATATATTTGATTAATTGGTTTATCTTTCTTACAAATTTATTTGAAGTTGAACCATACTCAATATTTACTTTACGTTTTATTTGCTCACTCCCGTACTGAGCACGGGTTACTTCGCTAGTATTATATCAAATATGGAATGGTTCCTTGAAAGAATGGAGAAATGAATCAATCACGATATGCCACATCAGCCAAATATGTCAGACCCATGTATATAGAGCTCACATGGTATATCATCGTTGCCCATTATTAAAACTAGAACTTTGGAGGATTGGGCTGTGAATGAGTCGGGTTTGGTTGGGGATAGGGTGTACCACCAGTTCCGAACCGATTTTTAATCCGAATAAAATTATAAACAAAGAACTCTCCCGTATATTAATTGGGATAATCGAGCTTAACCAATTATATTGACATCTATAATTATTTATGTTAAAATGACAGTAAAATAGTAAATTGTTTACATGTTAATAGGGTTCGACTTCCATACAGCCATATTGAAAAACTTTTAATCAATCAACAAAGTGATAACCAATCAGAAGGTATTTTATCAAAATTCACAAGGGAATTTTTATTGATTAAAGCCTTTCTGGTGGTATAGATTTTCTCATGTTAATAAATTTAGTGCTTTTAACCAAAATTATATTATATATTATTTATCAAATTTATCCTTTTAGAGATAAAATATAATAAAAATTAAAAAAAAAACTAATAAGCCTTTATATATTATTAATTAATAATTGATTCGGATCTTAATCAATTTGTAACAAGCAAGAACCAGAACTGAGCCACTTATTAATTAGGACAAAATAACAGAACCAGAACCAATAAAATCAGTTCAGTTGGTTCGGTTTAATAGAGTCGAACCGTAGAACAGATCCATTGACAGCCCTACTAGGATTTCTCGTTAAGAAGGATTTGATAGGGGTTAGCAAGGGACGGCTGAAGGGTCCTCCTGTCCTGGACCTAATTTTTTGTTAAGGGGTTAGTGATAGAGTGCACACATGTTCTACAGTTTAAACATACACCTTCTCAATATAGGGGATGCCTTTCGACCAACTTAACATCGGGTGGATTGGCATAATGGAAGATTTTCCCTCTCCAAAAGGGTAAATTGCTGAAACCTCTCCTAAAGTTTGGTAATTGCAATCTCCTCTCCTAAATTTTTTGGCATAGTTATTATAAGCATGGCTTTGAAAACTGGTTCAGATCAGACGGTCGGACCGGTTGACTTGGGAACCAGTTAGGCAACTAGTTTTGTTTTATCCTAAAACCGCTCTTGGGCCAAACACCGTTGATTTGGTCAACAACCCACTGACCCTAGCAGTCCAACTGTTGACCTGTTGACCCGGACAATGGTCCAGTTAGGCAACTAGTTTTGTTTTATCCTAAAACCGCTCTTGGGCCAAACACCGTTGATTTGGTCAACAACCCACTGACCCTAGCAGTCCAACTGTTGACCTGTTGACCCGGACAATGGTTTTTGGTCTTTTTTATTTTCCTTTATTTTTATAAATAAGAACAGATTGTCTTTTCAAATTGGATGGTCAAACCGTCGACCCTGTAACTAGGGATGGCAATTTTTCCCACCCCTGGTGGGGACGCAACTTCCCCGACCTGATGGGGTCCGGAATGTGGATGGGGATTGAGGTCCCTGCCCCACCCCAACCCGATTATATATATATATATTATTTTATTACATATATATCAATACATATTTAAAAATTATTTATAATTTAAAATTTTTATTTATTTTAAGTAAATTTATTCTTCAAATAAATATGTTATCTAAAACAATTTCGGGGATTCGGGTCCCCGCGGGGAACCCATCCTTGTCGGGGATCGGCGATGGATGACAAATTTTGTCCCCAACGGGGACGGGGACGGGGATGGGGGTTACTTTTATAATCGGGGTCGGGGACGGGGAATATGATCCCCACCCCGAACCTGCCCCATTGCCATTCCTACTTGTAGCCAGTCCCCAAAATGGTTATGTTTCTAGTCTAATCCAGTCTGGTTTTTAAAACTTTGGTTGCAAGTAAACCCCCTTTATTAGAATCCTCTGGCACAAAAATGTCCAAACTACCGATGCAGTTACAATTGAGGTTGGTTTTGTAAAGTTGCAGCTTTACTTTTTGAGCTATCATTGATATGAAGGGCAAACTTGAAAAATAAATCAATTTCAGAAAAGATATTGGAAGGATTTAGAGTAGCCATTGATATGAAGAGAAAATTTGAAAAATAAACGTTTTGGTCAAAACTAACTGTGGGAGGTAATTACAACTACCAAACTTGAAAAAGGTTTGAGCCATGGTCAGAAACTTCAGGAAAGATTTTAGCAATCTACCATTTGAAATAAAATTATTCAACCAATTAAGTCCTTCAAACCAGGCTGAGTTTTCCAGGTGAATGCCTTATCCTTATATGGGTTCTTAGATCTCTTACTGCACAATTCTACCAACCATATATGAGTTTTACCGGAACAAGACAAAGGATTAGTATCTTCAACTTCTCTACTTAGCCAAAAAGGCCCAACCGACCCATCCTTTTTACTGATGTAAGTTACTTTCTTGATTAGTTGCTTGTTGACAAGTTAATTAATTACTTACTAATAACAACCTACTGAGGAACCAAACGCAACCCAATGACCTAACAAGCTGAAATGTAAAGAGGACTAAAGTGTTTCATATTTGGACAAGTTGAAATAGTAAAGGTCCTTAACAACTGTGTAGTTAAATCATTCTCTTTGTGCAGAGTGTTTACTTAAATCAGCAAAGGATGTTGGGATATGAAATAGGAGAAGTCTTGTAATGAGGTGACCTTTCTCCTAGTAAGACCCAATGAAGCAGTTTTAGATTCTAATTTAGAAAACTTTTACAAAACAAAATATGATACAGTTGAGAAGAAAATTAAAAAGCAAGTGCATGAATGATTTGAATTTAAAATGATTTTGGTTTCAATAATTCAAAGCAAGAAAAAAAAAAGGAAAAAGGAGTTAAAGAAGAGATCAAAAAGAAAAAACAACATAAAACCTTTAAGTATCAATGCGATTTTAATACACAAGCAAGTAGTCAAAAAAGTGAAAAGTGCTTTGCCCATTAATTTATGGCTTTAGATTCCATACTAATTTGCCCATGAATTGAAGCCGATGATGAGATGGCCAGTGAGGGTGTCCGGATCTCCTCGCAAGAAAAAACCGTTTCAATAAGTTCCAGTATGATCTGCATCTGGACATCTCATACATGATACGTGGTGGGTCCTAAACCTATTTAAAGGTGTTTTTAATAAATATATTTTTAATAATTAAAATGCAAAAGTAGGTCAATTTTGAAATAAAAAAAAAAAAACTAAAAATAAGATAAAATGTAAGGTTTAAAGTATGGATACATTCCTTTACGTGTAGTAGGGTGAATCCTGGTGAAATGTACCGTTACTGATCATGTTGGAAGAGTGCTGGAACAGTTTTTGTTGGGAGGGAATCCCAAATAATCTCTCAACATGATCCTGGCTCCTGGGAGAATGTGTCTCGCACCTAACTCATAGCACTTGCACCTGTAATCGAGATTTTTAAAATCTGCTTTAGGCTGAGTTTAGAAGGAGTACAAATGCAAATATGTAGGGTGTAAAACCTTATATTTTGTATTATTTTATATGTATTTATGCCGTATATATTTACATTTGTACTGCTTCCAAATTGAGTCTTATGTATTGATTCTTGTTCTTTCCCTAGCCCTTAATCGTCCTGTAATCAAGGTTTTTAAAACCGACTTGGAGAACGAACCGGTCAAGGGTCTGATTCCTGGGTCAAACGGTCTGTTTTGACAAAAAAATAAAAAACGGTCAAAACCGTTCAAATGGTTCGAACGGTTAACTGCTCGGGTCAGCGGTTTGTTGATCAAAATCAATGATTTTTAGCAAAAATCTGATTTTGGGAAAAAACAGAACCAATCGCCTGACCGATTCCTAGTTTTTCCAGTCCAACCGTCCGGTCTGGTCCTATTTTGAAAGCCATGCCTGCCTGTAATGTATACCATGTAAACAGGAAGATGAGAATGAAAATGCCGATGTGCCAAGTTTACTAAATGACCCAATCCCAATGGACTAAGGAACTAGCGTCCTTTGCACTAGTACAAATGTATGAGATACAAAATTACAAGTTAAAAGAGGGCAAATTTTGTTTCACTTTTGTTTGGGATTTTAATTCTCTTTGCTTCAAACTTTACTTTATCATATGTATATTTACATTACAAACAAACTAAAATAAATCAAAAATTACATTCAATTCATTTACACTATCAACACAAATAAAATTGCATTGCTAACAAACTAAGCTAAAAACAGCTTAGAGGGTCATGACTTGGTGAATGTGGTAGGTGAAGTGATGAACATCAAGCACGAAAAAAGCAGTTGAAGAGCAAATGGTCAATGGGTTGGCCAATTAACATTCACCTCCCCAACCCCAACATGTTTGTCCTTCAGCCAGCCGGCCCACCACACTTAGAAACACTGAATTCCCTATTTCCATATGCGTGGCAGACTTCCCTATATCGATATTGGGTATTGGGACATGAGTAATGGACTACTGGCAATCGAAATCGGATTAGCTGAAACCAATGATAACGTCCCATATGGCGACCACTCAATCTGAGGAATTAAACAAGTGGAGAGCAGCTACATTTGCACTCTTGATCGATGGTTTGAACCATTTTGATCGGAACCTTTAATACAAGGGTGGATTGATGGCATATACCACCACAACAATTGTTTTCACTTTTAACAAATAAGCTGTTTGATAAGAAATCATGGCT